ACAACTTCAGTATGTGTCAAAAATAGATAAAAGTGAAAAAATTACTGTATAACAGCGGTTCTCAACCTGGGGGGTCGCGACCCCTTTGGGGGTTGAATGGCCATTTCACAGGGGTCGCCAAAGCCCTCTCTCACACACACCCCCACGTCTTCACTCACCCTCACCCAGTGGTGGGATTCTGCCGGTTCTAGGCGGTTTGGCCTTAATATTTGTTAAATTGCTGGCTGGCCCCGCCCCTTACCCCGCCCCTCCGCACCACTATTTATTGCCAATAAATAGTGGTGGGTGAGGGGCAGGCGAGCCACCAATTTAACAAACAGTTCGGTGTTTTTTGTAATTTTATTGGCCCGCAGAGCTTCAGCATAGGCTAATTAGCCCGTTGATTAGATCTCCCGACTCTCAGCTGATTTGCTCTCAGCTGTTTTGCGCAGGGCTCTGCTGCTTGCTAAATTGCTGCAGCAGATTTTTTTTCTCGTTGTGCAAACCAAGCTCAAAACGAAACTGAAAGTAAAACAGGCTGTTGGCTTTGCTGTTTGCTGCAACGTTGGAAAATCAGGCAGCAGATTTCTTTTTCCTCATAAAAGATAGGTGCAAACAATGGGAAATTTAGGGCAAAAGAGGAGTTCAAGATTTTAAAATACAAAAGAAAAAAAGCTCTATTTAACTAGGGAATTGTAATAATTGAGATACTATTAATTGTATATTTTGTTGAAAGCAGAAACGGTTAAGTTGTGGTTTGGAGGAATATATGGGGGAAATTATTGGGTTTATTATTATTGGTAAATATAATTAATTGATTTGTAAGAAATTGGATTGCATGGAAATAATTGGAATATTCATGTTCATATTGATTAATATACAAAAAAGATAGTTATATAACCAATTGATTTATATTAAAATGTTGAATATATTAAACAACTATAATATTACATAATTAACCAATTTGAGGATGGATATAAAAATAAATGACAATGGGAAGGGGTATAATATAGAATAGAAGGGAAAAATTGAATTTGATTAAGATTAGAGATGAGGATGAAGGGTAATATTGGTTTTTTTAAAAAATAGATGAGGAATAAATATGGCAAAAAGCAAATTTAGAAATTGTAAATTTAATTGAAATGACTAAACAGTTTAAATTTGTGAACCGGCCAAATACTCTGTTCAAAGAAAATACATTGTATGTTTGTGTGTGTGTTTCTAATTATTGCTATTTATTCATATTTGTTCTCTTTTATTCTTTAAAGTTTAACAATTCATTCTTTATCTTAATATCTTTATATTTGTTTGGGGTTGCCTTTCTTCCATTTCATCTTTTTTACTGTACAGCAATCTTTCTCCTCAAACTACCACCTCTCTCTTTTCTTTCCTTTTTACTTTCTTCCCCCCCCCCGCTTCTTCTCCTCCCTACTTCCTCTTCCTTTCTCCTTCTCCTTCTCTCTTCCTCCCTCTCTTACCCTCACTCCTACTCTAATTTCCCTTCCCTTCCCTCATCCCTCTCTATTGCTGTATCCTTTTATGCATATGGACTACTCAGAGAGCTGAAAAAGTTATTTTTGACTGGTCCTCGCACTTTTGACCAGTCCTCGAACTTACAACTGTCCTCACATTTTACGTTTTTGCCCTATCTTGTCACCATGGTGAAGAGAAGCAGTTGTGAAATGAGTGACACGGTTGTTAAGAATGCTACAATGGGCATGATGACCAGTCAAAAGTGCGAGGGCCTGTCAGAAATCACTTTTTTCAGCCCTCTGGATAGTCCTTTTGTGCACATAGACTACTCAGAGGGCTGAAAAAGTTATTTTTGACTGGTCCTCACACTTTTTTTATTATTATTATTTTTTATAAAAAAATAAAATTAATTTTTTTCAATTAATAGGGGCAATACAACTGGAATAATGTTGAGTCAGATTCAATTTAGCTATTTCCCTTCCTATTTAATCTTCCCCAAGTCCTAACTATTTGGATGTTGATGTTTCATTTTGGAGGTATACTTTGTAAAGTTCATAGTATTGTCAATACAGTCCATTGATCAAATTTGTCTTCATAGAGTAATCTGGAAGTGTAATTCTTTTTAAGTCATCACTTCTAGTCTAGCGCCTTTCATCTATGCAATTTCGAGAGTTCATTGCCAGGAGGTACAAAGTCCTGATATATCTGGGAGATTCTAAGTTGGTGGATAATGCTTTAGCCTATTGTGCATACTTTCTAGTTTATTTCCAGAGATTCTCACAATTCCCACCAGGGAATGACATGTATCTCATTCTACTCTGCGGAGATGCACACTATTGCCTTTCCATGCCTATGTAACATCTAAAACGAAAACAAACCGGGATCATTTTTATTGTGTTGAATGTTATCTCACTATTTAGCTCAAATGAAGTTTTAAGGTATGCACAATATAAGGAAACCAACATATTCACTTAAACATTAGTGTGCTTCTACATTTTCCCAGAATAAATAATAGGAAGTAAGCGATATGCACAAGAACACATATTGTTTTCTTTGCCCAATATTATTCTCAGACTGTTGCCAAAGATGGGGACTCTGGTTTCCAGAACTGCTTGCTAATAACCCTGGGCATCATTTGAAAGAAAAACAAAAACATTTTTTGCTAAACTTTGTAACTTATAAAATTTGGGAGGTTAATTGTGATTTAGGAGATGTTTTCCTGCAAACCTAGTATATATTTTGTCCCTTGTAATTGTGAATTAAATCTCTGCAGAGGTGTGCGTATGTATGTATGTGTGTGTTTCATTTTAAAATAAATGCCTTAGTGCATTCCATTCTTTATTATGTTAAGTATTTTGAAGATAACACTAATACCTATTTAACTTATCTAATTTTTGTTTCTAGGTATTTGAGAAACTAGTTATTCTGGGAATAGAAGTAGGGCAGATATTAATGTCAACAAACTCCTTTTTTAAAGTTCAAACAAACAGGTAAGTAAACAAACCAATCAGCTGCTGATTAGTTACAGAATTCTTGGCATCTGGCAGCTCTGCCCAGTTCTTTCTGCCTGGAACAAAAACAGATTGGTGCCAAAAGAAAGGTGCCCCGGAATAGCCATGTCTGCAGTAGGCCTCAAGTTCTCTCCACCTCAGGGTTACTAGACTAGTCCAACAACAAATAATCACCCACAAGCATCAGAATATCCTCTCTTGGACATAATTACATAAGAAGCACTCTGCTGGATTAGACTCCTGGTCCATCTAGACCAAGGGTGTCAAATTCTATTTCATTGGGGGCCACATCAGCATTGTGTTTGACCTTGGGGTATGTGTGTGGCTGAGGTGGGCGTGGCCTGCTCAACATCACTTGGGGCGCCTGTGGTGGCCCAAGCACTGTGTTCTCTGCCAGAGAACACAGGTTCCCAAGCGATGGCCTTCTGCAACCCTTTGCCAGCGAAAATAGAGCTCAGGAGGGCCGCATGCAGCCCTCTAAACTCTGTTTTTGCTGGCAGAGCAACTGTGGACCAGTCCTTGGCTGTTTCCAGGGTGGCCCTGTGGATCAGATCTAAGCACCCGGCGGGCCAGCTCCAGCTCCCAGGCCTTGAGTTTTACACCCTTGATCTAGACCAGTAATCTGTTTTCACAGTGGCCATCTCATTATAAAATTGCTGATTGCTTCTAGATTAATGGGAAACTTTAAAATCAAGAGAGAGAAGGATGGCCACATTCATGGATTGGGACAAAATAAGGCAATGTCATTAATCTTTAGCAAATAAAGAGATTTCCAGGACAGGCAAATATGGTATTTAGATGGAAATGGAGAAAGGCCCTCAGATAAAGTAGCTTACAAGGAAACTTGGTACAAAATAAATGTGTGTTTCAAATTATGATTGAATCTGGTAACACAGAAATATGTTTAGTAAATGAAAAAATAAATTTCAAATTCATCTTAGATTTTAAAAATGCTTTGGAGGTATATACTGTAAGAACAAAACAATGGGAATGTATCTTGTATAGTTATTCTTTGAATTCTATCATTTGAGTTTCAGAGATCTACAGCCTGCCTGCTTATTTGCTTATTTTTTATTTATTTAAAAATCAAGGGATGGAGCTGCTTCTCTAACTTACCATGTACTGGATAGTCAAGACAGGGTTCCTGTGGTAGAAATTGATGAAAGTGGTCATCTTAGTTCTCATTCTCACATTGGACTATCAACAATAGAAATAATTTCCCAAGAATCATTTGGAATCAACCAGACCCTTGTTGTTGCTGTCAAGGTACTATGTCTCAGTTCCTTTGAATGAAAATAGAATGCTAACTTGCTCAAGGCATTTTGCTATATTTAAAATTAAAATTTCCATCACTCCAGCTCAAGAAAATAATTGAAGCTTTGAATCACTTAAAGATGATGACAAAGTACTGTTTTCATTTTATTCTCTGATATTAACTTTGTAAAATACATAATGTGGTAGTGATGAGCAGAGTTTAGAAAATATAATTGCATGTTGCTGATTGATTGATTGATTGATTGATTGACTGATTCATTCATTCATTGATTCATTATTTGCCATGAGATCGTGTTGACTCTTAGCAACCAGGAAGACAGATTTTTCTCCATAATCTGGTCTTTCAGGTCTTCAAGCAAACTTGACCTTTCATAAAACACTTGCAATTCCCTTGACTTAAGAGTTTGCTGCAATTAATACTGACGTTATTCTCTGTAGAGTTTGGGGAAGACAACAGTAGAAAAACTGAAGAGTGCTTTTTGAGTAACTATCCCTAAATGGTTAAAATATGGACAAATGAAGCAGTTGGATAGTATGAGGTGGTTATCTCAGGCACTTGAGCTTAAGTGTTATAAAAGGCACCAACTATTTTCAGTGGGGGTTGTTATTATCCTGCCAAAAGCTGGAAAGGTATTTTTGTCCTGGGTTCTAAATAAAGAATGGGATAGATGTCTTTTTTGCTGCACATCAGTCAAAAAAATTGGACTGGCTTCAATTAGCTCATATTTCTGAGAGACACAGTCAAAATCCCAAACAATGCAGTAAAATCAAAAACGTGTTTATTAGTAGGGTAAAAAGTAATCCAGATAATCATATACAATATAACTGCTTACATGTATTTTGAGCAACGGGAAACTGATTTCACCTTCAATTTTTTACTGAATGTATCATGCAGGTAGCTCCTATTTCCTACCTGAGAATATCCATGAACCCAATTTTCCATACAAAAAATCATGAACCTTTACTGGCATTACCATTGGGCATCACTTTGAGTTTGACTATCCACTTCCATGACAATTATGGAAATACTTTCCACTCACAAAATTCCATGCTTCACTTTGCAGTCAACAGGTAATTTGATTAGCATTTGATTAGCATAAATTACGTGAACATTACTAAAGCATTTCAGTTTGACTATTACTTGGCCTCTACATGAAGACACACAGTGAAAGAGAACATTCTAATTATCATTTATGGTACCTGAAGTTATTTTGATTGTTCTACGGCAATTGTCAGGTGCTTGATATATATCAGTAGAATGGTGTATGTACTAATGTTGTATCGCTGTATAGCCAACATCCATGAGTTGGATGAAGAAACTGATGAATGTAGTTTACAGTTAACATATTGATAGAGTACATGGGGCCCTACAAGATTGGTGGATGGAAAATATATACCAGACAGTGCTTTAGGTTCAGAAAGGTGCTTTTGGAGTATGGGGAAATAAATGTAGCACTTGTCATCAAAGTGTTTAAATCAGCCTAGTGTTTACCTAGGGCCATTTGGCAACCACAAGGGCAGCTGCAGGATGCCAGAAAAGCTACTGCTACTTTCAAGAGTTGTAGGCAAATGTTATATTCAGACTACAGTGCACTTCAAAGCATCTTTTCAAGATTATTTGCATAATCCTGTAAATCAAGGTAATGCATCTGTATTATGTGTTTAAAACTCATGCCAGTTTCTTTTAATAGTAATTAAACTCATTTAGCTGGAATAAATCCCATTTGTTTTATAGTACTTACAAGAAAAGCACATATGATCAAGTGTATTAGTCATTTGTAAGTGGACCTAAACAAACAATCTGTAAGTCGCCCCAACAAGCAATTAATACATGACTGATATTTGATCTTATATTTCTTTATATACAGTAAACATTCTGTAATAGTGTAGTGAATTTCTGTATAACACTGTACATGCTGGAATTAAAAACTATCTTAAAAATTGGGCTACTTGGAACAAATGAAAAACATTTCCAAACCACAGTAGATGGGTATAAGTGATCTAACTTTTCACTTTGTATCTATGACATTCACACAATTCTGTTCTCTTGACTGTTAATAATAATTTATTTATTTATTTATTTTAATAAATTGTTTTTGTCTACAGAGATGATTTTTTACAGGTTGGGAAAGGGACCTCTAACAATACTTTGGTACTTCGAACAATGAACGTTGGACTAAGTTTGCTTAAGGTTTGGGATGCGGAACACAATATTGCAGACTATGTCCCTCTTCCTGTCCAACATGCCATCTCCCCTGAGCTCACCGATATTATTGTAGGTGATGTCATATGTTTAACCTCCTCACTGGTAAACCAAGATGGTAAGATGATTTTGAATAATAATGGGCATTAACGGAGAATTAAAAAAAACTAAGTTGTCATGGAAACTTTTTGTGTTTGTATGCAAGGCACATATTCAAAATAACCATATATAATATATAAAATGTATTAAAGTTATGTTTAATACAACACAATTGGTATGTGAAAGAAATAGGGAACAGCATTTATACTTGGTAATGCATCCCTTTATGAATACTAAGAATAATTTGCTGGACCTTGTTTTAATAACCTCTGTAAAATTGATGTAAGAACTGATGCACAGATATGAAAATACGAATGAAAGCAAGACTTAGTATTGCCCAACTGGATTTCTTATTTGGAAGGTATTCTATGCCCTCATTGCTCAATCTGTGTGATCGAATGTGCACTTGCAGCAGCAGTGAGGAAGGATTTGGTCAACTCGGAGCTTTCCCAGAGGGAGACACAGATCAAGAGAGTGTGTTGTCCCAAGCTAGAAGGGATGAGATGGTAAGAGGTTTGGAGAAGCCATATCTTACGATCTCTCAGGAAATATTAAATTAGACGTTTTTAGCTTTAGTCTGGCAAAGTTCTGTCTAATAGGTGTAATCAAATAAAGAATTGGACATGATTGGATCTCACTGTCTCATCTCTGGGCTTGAGTCTGAAAGTCTAGCAGCAGTAGCACAGACTGAGCAAAGCAGGGAGAAAGTTAGACCTTCTAAAACCTAATGTCAGCTTTATCAGAAGAAAAAGCGCTTCTATGTACAAAAATACTGCTTTCAGAAGGATGACTACTATTATGAAAAAGCACTAACTAACAAGACTAGGGAGAGCATCTTGATATGATTATAGTGTAGTCATCTACAAGTTCACCATTTTCGTCAGGTTCCCAAACCTGCTTATATAGCCACATTTTAAGGGCTTTCTGGATTTTGGCATAAAAAGGGCCAGTCTCACCTCAGGGAGAATGATGTTTCAGAGGGTAGGTGCCTGAAAGAAAAGATATTTCTCCCGAGTGTTGCCAGATATAACTCATTAGTAATTGGGACCTGTTACATATTCCTTCTGCTGGACATAGGCAGACATAATCAGAAAGAAGCAGTCTCTCAAATAAATATTAATGCCACAGTCATTACAAGCAAAGCAGTCCTTTGTTCAACGTGACAGATTTGATATGCTAGCTGAATAAAGCAATGGATTAAAGGTGCTTTTCCTAGGATGCTGGATAATTCCAGTAGGGCAGATGCAGGTCTTTTATAGGCCTTAGCACAATGATAAAGAAATAGGTATGACGCAGATCCTGAAGTACTATTCTGTGAATGCTTCAACTTCACTGTAGGGAGCAGATTACCTCTATTCCAAAAGAAAGATTTTTGTAATGTGATATCTACATTTATGAATGTGTATTCAATTTTATAAGACAATATTCATAATGCTACAACTGAATTTATAAAAGTAGAATAATATATTAGAAACCTTTTTTTTTTATTAAAAAGCTGGATATACCCATGATAAATACTACTTATGTGGAAAATAAGTCTCTTATGATTGGCAGTTGCAGTATGATTATTTTTACAAATACTCTTTTTCATAGGTTTATCAGGAACATGGAGTTCTTCTTCAAACAGTATTCTTCAGATTGATTCAAAAGCCGGAGTGGCTGTAGCAAGGAACTCTGGAAGTGTTATAATATATTATGACATATCTGGGTTGTGTAAGACATATAGGGAGGTAAGTCACTTCTGAAATTCCTCATTATTACACTTTTATTTTATTGTATATTTAGAGTTTTTATATTATCTTATAACTGAAATATTTATGCCACCCCTGTAAGATGTATTATTTTATAACAGCAAATATTTTAAAATTACTCATTATTGGCTCATGCCAAAGTGGTTATAGCTCCTAAAATAAAAAAAAGAATCATTTATAATCATAAAATTGCAACGAATTGTTTGAAGAGACATCATCCTTTCTCATGGAACCTCATGATTTTTAGAAGACCCATTAGTCATAGATTGCCAATGATTTTTGCTGCCACCATGATGACACAGCAATAAATCAGAGGAATGGATCATTAATATTAATTTGGGACCAACCAAAAGCTGATGTGAAATCACAAATTGCATCGATCTGTGCAGAGTAAGCCACAATATTCACAGATCAAACAATTCCTGGCAACTCTGCAGAGAATGTACCTTGATTCATGGCATGGATCTTCCAGATTTCTGCATCAGCATCTCCTAAAACATCAACCAGCAAAACATAGGTCACTTTATCTGCATAGAATGAGCCAGTGGAACTAAACAGGAGATTGAAGCAGAGGCTTTATTGCTTGCCAGCTCAGAACCAGTTGAGACATCCCCATGTTCACATGATAACTGTTGCACTGTCCCATGGTCATGTGATCACTATTTGTAACCTTCTCAGACAGCTTCTGACAAGCTAAGTCAATGAAAGAAACCAGATCTGTTTAACAACCAATTTGTTTAACCAGTGCAGTAATCACTTAACAACTGTGGCAAAAAAAGATTGTAAAATGGGGTGCATCTTTCTTAACAACTGTCTTGCTTACTAATGGAAATTTTGGACTCAACTGTGGCATAAATCGAGGATTACTCAAAATCATATATCCGACAGTATTGTAGTTATGTCTTTCAAATTCTGATTTTGTGTGTGAGAGAAAGGTATATTAGGACAGATAGTATATAAGAGTTGATATGTTGAATATATCCATAGAGCAAGAGATACTGAAAATTGTAAGAAATTAATGTTTATGCCAGTAGTTCTTAAACAGGGATAATTACACCCAAGGGAGAAACCAGGGATATCCCTGGAGTAATGCAGCAATTTGTAATTGCTTGTTTGTGAGTCAGTGATCCAATTTGGGACTGTCACTGCTGAAATGCTTGGCTAAAACAAGATTCTGAGGAGGGAGGTGTTGGTGAGATTAATTCAAACAGTACTATAAGTAATCCAATCCAACAGTATGAAAAGAGATATTTGAGTCAAGGAGTTTAAGGACTACTAGCTTATACTATTATCCTTACTTATTTCAACATAACTGAAAAATAAACAGAAGTCAAGAGCATGAGTATAAATTAGAATGTTTTAATATATAAAATACAGTTAATTTCCTGTAGTGGTTAAGGCACCAGACTAGAAACCAGGAGATTATGAGGCACAAGCCAGCTGGATGACCTTGTGCCAGCCACTCTGTCTTAGCCCTAGGAAGAAGGCAGTGGCAAACTACTTATGAAAATCATGGCAAGAAAACTGCAGGTATTTGTACAGGCAATCATGTGTGTGTGTGTGAGAGAGAGTGTGTGTATGTGTATGCACATGTGTTCTTTTTTTTTGTTAATGTTTTATTGTTAAATGGTAAACATGATTTGTTTGATTCAAAGTTTTTCAAAGGCTTAAAGTAAATAATAAGACAGCATGTTTAAATTTATATACCACTGAGATTAAAGTGAGACACAGGCTAATTCAGAAAATACCCAAGTGGCCAGATTTTATGAGCTCTAAACTCAAGAGAAAATTAGACCCGTCCAAACAATTGTCACTGAGTATTGTGTAATCTTTTTTTCCCCTTTAGGTGTTAATTAATGAACCTAAAAGGATTGTGATAACACATATAAGTGGAATGAAAACAAATCTTCAGGATACTTCAAAAGTTATACTTCAAATTGGAGATAGAAGTAAAAATTTGAAAGGTATACTTATTAAATTTAAGCTTACTTTTACAATAAATATTTTTGTCTAATTTTTTATTATTCTGCATAACTTCTAATGTTTAATTATGGATACCCATTTAAGCAGTCTTTGCCAAACTACTATTTCATATGGGTTGAATTTTAGCTTCTAGAAATCCCAGCAAGATGGAAATTTTGGAAGCTGAACTTCAACATGTATGGAAGAACTAGAAATAAGTCTATATGACATTTTCCTGGACATGTTTTATAGATGAATGTTAATATACATTTATTCCAACCTTAAATGGCATAACTGCCATGTACACTATAACCCAACTCATTGCCACAAAGAGTCTAATATTGTGCAGAGGTCCCCACTGAATTTAATATCCATGGTAAATCACAGGATTGCAGTCTATGCAAGATATATTGAGAATCTGGGTATAAGATGAACAAATCAGTAAATTGGCTAACTATGTAGGCAGAAATTCTACTTACTTGAACACTTTCCTTTACCAAATAGTAGACAAGATAATTTAAATCATAATTACGTATGTTTTAAACCATGAGTGTTTAACCTTTGGCTTGCCTGAGTCACACTAAGTGAAGAGGAGTTGTCTTGATCGCATATAAAATATATAATATAATTGTTGTTGTTAGTTGCGAAGTCATGTCCGACCCATCGTGACCCCATGGATAATTTTCCTCCAGGCCTTCCTGTCCTCTACCATCCTCTGGAGTCCATTTAAACTCACGCCTACTGCTTCAGTGACTCCATCCAGCCACCTCATTCTCTGTTGTTCCATTCTTCTTTTGCCCTCAATTTTTCTCAGCATTAGGCTCTTCTCCAGTGAGTCCTTCCTTCTCATTAGGTGGCCAAAGTATTTGAGTTTCATCTTCAGGCTCTGGCCTTCTAAAGAGCAGTCAGGGTTGATCTCCTCTAGGACTGACCGGTTTGATCGCCTTGCAGTCCAAGGGACTCGCAGGAGTCTTCTCCAGCACCATAGTTCAAAGGCCTCAATTCTTTGGTGCTCAGCCTTTCTTATGATCCAACTTTCACAACCATATATTGCAACTGAGAAATAATATAGTTACTATATATAAATCACATAATAATGTTAAAAGTTTACAATCTTGTGGGACTACTTAGTAGCTGTCCTAGGCCACAGGTTAGACATGCCTGCTTGATACAGATACAGTAAGGTCTAAGTGTATATGCCCCAGCTAAATTCAACCTTGATAGGTTCAAATTATGTTTCAATTTGTGACATAAATAATATCTTTTATGGCATAACAAATACTGAATGATTTATAAGTATGTGTATTTCAACAGCACATTGCAGAACACTCAGCAGTTTCTGATCTATTGAATATATTTTCAGAAGAACTAATGTCCCATTACAATTCAATAATAAATGACACAATTTATCTTCCTGACAACCTCTGAAAAACACATTAATGAGACTTCCATAGAATACTCACACTTCTTGATTACTATGTCTTTATCCAGAGTTTAAATAAAGTGAGATTACATGTCATTCAGTATAACCTATCACCTGGAAATGCTTTATATATAATTCATTCTCAACAAATATTGTTATAAAAGATTTTTTTATTAAGTGCTTTGAACACAGGAAAGAAAGCTTGTCCATTTAAGTGTTATTGCTCTAATCAATGGCACTTTTTAAAAATTCTGAAATCGCTGCATGATATTACATTTCTTGCTACAGCTTATTTTGAATAGATTTTTCGTTTATAATTTTTCAATAGTTTATTGTTCATTAAACATTATCAAAATGCAGAAAATAAAACAAGATTAATAAGACCATATATAAAAATGAAACAATTTTCTTTTTTAAAAAAAAAAGAGAATGAAGAATGCAAATCGTATTTCTGTATCATTCATACAATTTACCCCAATTAGATGCACATATGCAGGTCTGAACTGAACCATTTTATTCAAATAAAGTGCCATATAATATATGTAATTTTTAAAATTCTGACTGCATATGAAATATGTTGTTTTAATAAAAGGATAGCAGTGGGTTGTTTATCTAATGTGTGGTCTAAGGTATTGATCTCTTTCTTATATATATGACATTCAAATAATATATGTGTTACGTCTACTTTCTGTGGAACTGTTAATTCTCAATTCTATTATTCAACTTTTCTTAGGAGAATGTTCAAGTGCCCAAAAGGAAGTAATTGAAAAAATGAAACCTCAATCTATGATCAACTGTCAGCTTAATTTCAACAACAATGTATTTGATTTCCAAGCTTCTGAAATTGTTGCAGCTGAACCCATGTTTGATACAGCTTTAGGTAAGATAAAAGGACAGAACTGTAGTAAGAATACAACTATGAATTCTAATGGTGGTCATTAGATTGAGAATTTTATGAGAAGAAAAACTGAGAATATTCAGAGTTTTCTGCATTGCTTGTTTCCAGTTGAGTATAATGGGCAATGTTTACTCATAGAACTGTCTTTCAGGAATTTGCATAATCTTTTAAACTAGCAAAAGTTCAGCAACTTGTGACCCATCATATTGATGTGGTATATTAAAAATCTTTAAAAGGTTGTAAGCCTTGAAAATGCTTTCCACTTAATTGAATTTATTTCTTAGTTCTGCATAAAATATAAAGATTTGGCACCAAAATTGGCCCTTTCCAATCAGAAATCCAGGTTTAGTTAAACTTATTTCATTCTGTGGACAATTTGCATTCTTTCCAGCAAAAGTGCTTCAACTTTCCTATACATAGCCATGTAAATAGTTATTTGTTGGTGCTGGCTTTGTAAATTACTACAATGTTTAACTTATATTATAAGAGGAATTCATGGTAGACTTTAAGAATCTCAGAATCACTCTTGGATTCCTGATACATACCTTCTGCTATTTCTCCTGTTAATTTAATAAAAGATCATTAGTTGAAAGAGCAAAAATAATTCAAACAGTAAGTAATGAAGTAATTATGAGCAGCCTGCAAAAATAAAGATAGAAAAATGCCAGACCAGTTTATTAATAATAAGGCCTACAATCAAGGAAGAACTGGAACTGGTATCAAGTCTAATAATTAATCTTGACAAACATCCATTTCTTCCATTATTGCTTAAAATAAAATTTTAAAAATAGCATGTTGAAAAAATATTTCAATGAAATTTAAAAGAATGGATATTGTCCCATTTGTTATCTGCAGCAGAACTGTAAGAAGCCACAATGGTGCCAACATTGTGACAAATATATCATAATGTTATCAAATTGACATTATGTAATTGTATCATGATTCTGATGCAACTATGTAAGTCATGTCATTTGTCACCTTCTGTCACCTGTTCCTCCCACTGTGAATGTGTAGGGTCATTAGCAATTATACTGTAAATATAATATTGTTTGTGGTGTCTTCCTACTGATGCTGTCTAATCGTCATTAAAATTGCCACTTACCTCTAAGTGACCAGGTTTAGCACTAGCATGAAGAATGTTCAGCAATAAAATAATCTACAAAATGAAGAAGTAGAAAGATGTTAACATTCAGATTGGTCTTCTTCTATAAGGACAGTATACTTGTTCCATCAGAGTGCTCAGACTAGTCGACAAGCATCTAAAACAACTCACCATGAGCAAAACTGCCATCACGATCACACCTTCTCTCCAAGGCAGCCATTCCTTAGAGCAAATTAGCACTGAAGTGCCATTTAATCCGGGATTCTATGCTAATCAAACTGAATTTATCCTAAATAATCATTACACAACTTCTGACGTGAAGATCTTTGGAGCTGCTGAAGTTCTTAAAAATCTTGAAGTAAGTTTCAACACAATTTCTCCTTTATCTTTTGTGAAGCTGACTTATTGTGTTATCATTTTAAAATAGAACATGGACCTGACTCTTTAAAAGAATGGGAAGATACACAGTGGATTCTTTTTATTTATTTATTTTATTATTATTATTATTATTTTAATGAAGTTTTATTGAATAAAGAATGTATTACATTTCAAACTCTACGGTTCGGCAACGTGTAGTCATCTTGTATATTTACAAATATGGAATCTAATCAATTATCTAAGTATTATACAATTTATACGTAAATTTCTAAGATTGAATACAACAATATATAGATTTAATTAGTAATTATACATTGTCCTAATAAAAGTTAACTTTTGCATTTATTTTTCAACCATCTATACCACAGATCCCAAATCGTGTAGAATTCTGAGTCTTCCTTTCTGTTTAACGCATACGTTAATCTGCACATTTCTGCACAGTCCAATATTTTATTGATTACTTGTTCCTCAGTTGGACATCCTTTCTCTTTCCAGCAACTGGCATAGGAGAGTCTAGCAGCTGTGACAATATGAATAATCAGATATTTCTTTTCCTTAACAAATTTTCATTTTAGCACTCCCAGGAGATAGATTTCAGGCAGAAAGTTAATGTCCTCATTTAATATTTCTTGGATCCATTTTTGTATTTTTTTTCCAGAATTTCCTCACTTCCAGACACAAATGATATTGTGTTATCATTTTAAAATAGAGCATGGACCTGACTCTTTAAAAGAATGGGAAGATACACAGTGGATTCTTTTTAACCTTTGTGTTTTTCCTATTTATGTCAATATGTTTGTTGGTTTGTTAATGGATTTTTATTTAAATACTAACCACCTCGTAGTCTCTAGACTCAGAAGCTGGGTGAGATATAAAGGGTAGTAAATTGATTAAATAAAGCATATGAATATTTTAGCTGTGATGAAAAATTTAAAGCAAATTGGATTTTGGCCACGGATAGAAACCAGACTTTAAAAAGTAATAACTTATTCATATTGCTTGCCTTTGAACAAAAATTAAAACTAAATTTGCCAATTCTTTGAGATGTATTCTATTCATCTAGAGATGCCACTGAAGATCAAAACA